TTTTTCCAAGGAGCTAGAAATACAGCTTGGGAGTTAAGAGCACTGGCTGCTCTTGCATAAGACCTGAGTTCAGTTCCCAGCACTCATGAGGCAGTTAACAACCACTAGTAACTCCAGTTCCACGGGATCTGATGCCCCCTTCTGGCTTCCACAGGCATTGCATGACACAGATACATGCAAGCAAAACATTCATCACATAAAATAAAAATAAATATATCAAAAAAGATTTTATTTTTATTCTTAATTATGCACACATTGTTCGTGTTTATGTGTATGTGCACTTGAGTGCAGGTGCCCTCAAAGGCCAGAGGTGGCAGATCCCCTAGAGCTAGAATTAGAAGTGGTTCTTGATGTGGGTGCTGGGAATCTAACTTGGGTCATCTGGAGGAGCAGTATGCAGCCTTAACCATAGAGTCATCTCTCCAGCCCTTACTCTCACTCTTAATGATGTTCTTCTTCAGGTTTTAAAGGGAAGTCTCCCCTTTTTAAGACCCCCAACATGTTTAGATAGTACCATATGTTGCATTTTCTAATTCTCTCCTCCTGTCTGGAGGCGATTATAGCCTTAAGACCTTTACAATATAATAAACTTCATTGAAGGGAATTATGTGTCAGCTTCCTCTGCTGAGTGCAGACCCTTTTACTTCTTTTAAACAATTCCCATCTATAAAACTGAGACAGGGTCTTACTATGCAGCCCTGGCTGGCCTAGAACTCACTATATAGACCAGGCTTGTCTGGATCTCACAGATATCTACTGCCTCTACCTCCTGAGTGCTGGGACTAAAGGTGTGGGCCACTGTGCTCAACCCTTTCTATAAACTCTTAAACAAAGCACACTATTGATGATCTCTGCATTCTCGAGGCCATACCAGTCTGGCTCCCTGCAGACATACAATAAATGCTTCAAGGACAAATACATATTCAAATCTTCTCTCCATTTGCAGCAAAACTAAGTAACCTTGGCCGGAGTGATGGTTCAGGCCTGTAATCCCATCATTTGGGAGGCTGAAGAAGAACTGCTGAAAGTTAGAGGGTAGCTTGGACTATATGGTGAGTTAGTTCCAGGTCAATGTAGTATCTCAAAAACCCAAAAAGGGACAAAATAAAATAACAAACAAAAAAAGCAAAACAAAACAGTACCCAAAGGCTCTCAGTTACGCACATGAATAACAAGGATACATAGAAATGTAGATTGTCAACCACCAGCTCAAACTTTGAATAAGAATCTGTAGGAGAGTGTGGGAGAGCCTGAGGCTCAAAGAATCTACCTTTAAAACAGGTAATTTGGTAGGTGGTCAGAAATCATGGAATGGTGTCATCCTGATCTTTTATAAAGAGTATGAAAATGGGGTGTGGTGGCGCACACCTGTAATCCTAGCACTCGGGAGGCAGAGGCAGGTGGATCTCTGTGAGTTCGTGGCCAGCCTGGTCTACATAGCGAGTTCCAGGCCAGCTGGGGCTACAGGGAGACCCTGTCTCAAAAAGACCAAAAAAAAAAAAAAAAGAGTATGAAAATGGTTTACACTGATGTCATTGTTCTGTATTCAAAAATCAAGAAAACCTTTTTGCATCAAACAAAAATACAAAGGGGTTGGAAAGATGGCTCCGCGGTTAAGGGCACTAGCTGCTCTTCCAGGGGACCAGGGTTCTGTTCACAGCCACCTGTAATTCCAGCTCCTGGGGATCCAATGCCCCCTTCTGGCCTCTGAGGACACACATACACATATATGAAGAACAAGGAAGGAGGAGGAAGAAGAGAAGAAAGGAAGAAGAGGAGGAGGAAAGGAAAAAACAACAACAAAGAAAAAGCTAACGTGGAGAGGCTGGATGTAAGGCTCTGAGGTAAAGCAGCTTTTAATCTTTGAATGGTAATTCCCAGCCCCGCTTAAAAGATAGAGGGCAGGAGCAGGGAAGAGAGGAAGAGGATTGGGCAAAGGAGATGGCACTGGGCAGTATGAAGCAAAGTAGTTCTCAAGAGCAAACTGAACTCAAAATTTCTGCCCCTTGCTCAGGGTAGGACAGGCAGTGGGGTGCTATACTGTGGGCAGAAGACAGAGACTAAGCCCAGGATAGTGGAGGGAGAGGTAGGAATTCCTCTCTTCTGAAGCCAAAAGTAGCTGATTCAGTAAAATCTACCTTGAACCTCTGTTCACCCAATTTATGATCTTGAATAGATCACAGGATGAGCAACTGTCTGAGCCTTAATTACCTTATTGTTAAGATTTTGAGGCTGGGTGTGGTGGCTCACAAACGCCTTTAATCCCAGCATTTGGGAGGCAAAGGCAGAATGGTCTCTGAGAGGACAGTTTGGTCTACATAGCAAGATCCAGGCCAGCTGGGGCTACAGGGAGACCTTGTCTCAAAAAACAAACAAAGGAATTGATGACCTGGCTCCGAGGTAGTGTTGGACTGGCATGGAGAGGCCGCAGGTTATAGAACACTTGCCCCTCTCTGAGGGTTGTGGTTGGGGCTGATAAAGTATGAAAGATCCCAACACTAGGGACACCCTGACTGTTCTTCCTCCCTCTCTTCCTCTCTTCACAGCACCCGCTTCAGATTTTCTCTGGCAAACCCTCTGGGTGCCTTACCTTGGTCTGGGAGAAGCCGCAGCAGGTTCCCACGGACGCGCAGCTCCTTCACGTAGCATAAATCCTGGGGGATCCCGCCGGCGGCGGCTGCTTCGCGATCCTGGAAGATTGTTCTTAAGATGCGAGGCACGGGTAAGAACCTGTCTGGTGAAGGCACCTTCTCTAAACCCAGAAACTGCAGAAAGCCGTGTTCTTGAAAGTGGGACGCCTGACACAAGGCCAGGGTTAACAGGAAGCTGAGCACCAGCAGCGCTGGAGAGGGCACCATGGCCTCGGTCTATGGGGAGCTCGGCTCCCGGCTCCTCCGTCCAGCCTCGGTGCGGCTCCGTGCTCTGATTGGAGATTTGGAGATAATCAAGTGTGAATTGCTCTCTTTCCAGCGCCTCAGAGGCAATTGGATGTGAAAAGGCAGTTTTTTCTGTCTCTTGAAGTCTTTCAGCAGTGGACAGATGGGAAGGAAGGCGATGGACACTCATTCACTCAAAAAGCAGACGTTAAGGTGTCTGATGCGCAGGGCATTGTGATAGCCACTGGGGGCATAGCGGTGAAGAGTTCAATGGGCATGCATGCCACAGCGCTTGTGTGGAGGTCAGAGGACAACTTGCAGGAGTTGGTTCTGTCCTTCCACCCTGTGGGTACTAGGGATCAAACTCTGGCCATCAGGTTTGGCAGCAAGCACCTTTTTCTCACAGAGCCATCTCACGACCTGACTTCGAACTTCTGAGCAACTGGCCTTCAGGTCCCAAGTGCTGAGATTACAGCTGTGAGCCACCACAGTCTGTTGATAAAATGCTAGGGATCTTAGCCAGGGCCTCAAACATGCTAGGCAAGCATTCTACCTTCTAAGCTACCTCCCTAGCCCTATAATTACTTTTTTTTTTCTTTTTTGAGAGATGTGGAACTGGAAAGATGACTCAGTGCTTAAGAGCACTAGCTGCTCTTGCAGAGGACCTGAGTTCAATCCCAGCACCGAGGTGGTGGCTAACAACTGTCAGTAAATCCAGTTCCAGGGGATCCGGCACCCTCTTCTGGCCTCCACAGGCATTACATGACCTATAATATATACATAAAATAAAAATAAATTTTAAAGAAATTTAAAGAGATGGCTGTTCTAGGATGTAGAGGTGCAAGCCTATAACCTGAGGAGGCTAAGGTAGGTGGATCAGGAACACAAAATTAGCCATAGCTAGTTCTACATGAGTTCTGTTTTTCTTTTCCTTTTTTTGGTCTTTTTGAGACAGGGTCTCCCTGCAACCCCAGCTGTCCTGGAACTCACTATGTAGACCAGGCTGGCCTTGAACTCACAGAGATCTGCCTGCCTCTGCCTCCCCAGCGCTGGGACTAAAGGCAAGCCCAGTGAGTTCTGTTTTTCAAAGGGGAATAGCTGTGACTAAACTATAGGCTTGCCACCATGCCCAGCTCATTTAATTCTTATTCATAGTCTAATTAGACAAACACTAGTTGGCAGTCCCACTCAGTAGCAGATCACATGCTTAATCAAGACCCTGGGTTCAATCTCAACATGCAAAACAAATTTTATTTCATTCATTTTTTTTAACCAGGTCTGGTAGTACAGGCCTATAATTGCAGCTAATCAAGAAGCTGAGGCAGGAGGAGTCTAAGTTTGAAATCTATGTGCTGCCGAGTTCCAGAAAGCTTAGAGGAAGACTGTGTCTCAGTCTTCCCAAGGAAAAAAACCTGTACGCCTCATCTATTTTCAGCTCTGAGAGAGATTACATTTCTAAAATCACACAGAGAAGTGCTGGCCTCTGCCTCCCGAGTGCTGGGGTTAGAGGTGCGGCCTCCACACCCATCCACATCCTTCTGGATTAAGACTCAGTCACTGGACTAACTCTGCCATTATGTATCAGTTATAAAACACTGAATATTTCACTTGGCCTAATTTACCATGGAAATTTGTTGAGGGGCTCAGCTCTGCACCTTGTGCTGGGGAAGTACACACAAATCTGTCATTGAAGACATATCTTTAAAGCTTAAGTACATGCTTTTCAGTAAGATAATCAGGCATCTAACTAAAGGAGCTACTTGTGAAAAAGCATTTAAGTTATGGAGCTGGAGAGGTGGCTCAGTGGTTAAGAGCACTGACTGCTCTTCCAGAGGACCTGGGTTCAGTTCTCAGCACCCCTATGGTGGCTAACAACCATTGTAACTCCAGTTCCAGGGGGTCCAATCTCCTCTTCTGGCCTCCATGGGAATTGCACAACTTGGGTGCACTTATACACATAAACACTCATACACATAAAAATGACTAATTTTGTTAAAGCGTAGAAAATATTGACAAGTTTAAAGCTAGGAGTGTTCCCAGAACTTTGGAGGTAGAGGTAGGAAAGTCATCCTCTGCTACATAGCAAATTCAATACCCTATCTAAAAAGACAAGAACCAGACACCTATAATCTCAACACTTGGTTGATCAGGACTTCAAGGTCATCCTTTGCTAGCAAGTTTCAGGTCAACCAGGGCTACTTTGCAAAACCCTGAGTCAACAAAAAAAATAAACTCATCCTGGCATAGCACACCTTTAATCCAGGCCTCCAGAGGCAGAAACAGGTGGATCTCTGCAAGTTTGAGGCCATCCTGGTTACATAGTGAGTTTCAGGATAGCCAGGGCTATATAGTGAGAACCTGTCTCAAGAAAACCAAAATAAGATAAACGTAAAAGTATATTATCTATGAACTTCTGATTATTTATTTATTTATTTATTTATTTATTTATTTATTGGCAGAATTTTACTATGTAGCCATGGATAAACTGAGTGTGTCGGCGTGTGGATTTGTGTAAGTGAGTGCAATGACTTTGGAGGCCAGGGGTATTGGATCCCCTGGAGCTGGCTGGAGTTACAGGTATTTGTGAACTGTCCACCTGGAAACTGAACTCCAGTCCTCTGCAAAAGCAGTATGCATTGAACCACTGAGCCATCTCCAGCTCTGATGCCTGCAACTTTTGATGCAGGCCAAGTTAGTCTCAAATTTGTGGTGATAATCTTGTATGTACCTTCCAGGTGGTACTGGAGTTTCCTGTGTCCTCCACCACACCCAATAAATTTCTGGTTTTGATTTTTGTTTATTTTGTTTTAAATAAGTGAGTAATTATAAAGATTTTCAGATGTTATTGAAGAATTAACTTATTTAAACTGCCACGCATTTAGTTCAGTGGTAAAGCACTTTCTTGGCATGTGCCAGGCCCTGAGTTTGATTTCTTTCACTGAAAAATAATTGGTTAGTTTGTCCCCAAATGTTCAAGCTCCTTGAAACGGAAATGTTAACGTTTTATATTATTTTATTCCATTATTGTAAGAACTTGTACAAGGCCGCATCTGATACCTAATGATTTTTGGTTACCGTATAAAATCACACCTCTTTAGTCTGAGGATTTTCTTGTCTGGCTCCCAGGCCCCTAGCCAGTCTCATTTCCGACCTCCCGCCGTCCTCTGTATGATGTTCTGTTGATGTTGACCCAGCAGTAGTGCTTGAACTCCTTTCATCTCAGAGCCTGGGCAGAGAGCAAGTTCAAAGGTCTCTTGTGCTGCAAACACTTCCTTGATGGTCCCAATAGATTCAGATACTTCTCACCTAGCCTTAGTGGCTGTCAGTGATAGAACCTTCACAAGGCCATCACAGTCTTGTGATTAACACCCCTTGGGGATCAGAACCATAACAGAACATGTTGCAGATCCCCCTGACATTTAAGTCTCATCTATCCCACTGTGTGCACTAATCTGCTTCAGCAACTTTTGTTTTTTATTTCTCAAGGGAGTCCTGTGTCATGGTGGTGAATGCCTTTAGTCCCAGCACACAGGAGACAGAGGCAGGCAAATCTCTAGGAGTTCAAGGCCAGCCTGGTCTACATAGCCAGCTCCAGCTCCAGAGGCTACAGGGAGGCTCTGTCTCAAAAAGGCCAAAAAGAATCTGTCTCTGTAGCCCAGGCTGGCCTAGATTTCCTGATGCTTCTGCCTCAACTCTGGTGTGCTGGGATTACAGTAGGCCTGCACCACCTTGCCACTATGCAATTCTATATTTCTATGAAATTCTCTATAGAAAGCAGGCAAGCCTTGAACTCACAGAAAGTCACGTGCTTCTGCCTCCTAGCGCTCAGTGCTGTGGTTAAAGGCATGTGTGCACGACCATGCCCAGCTTTTCCTCTTAAATTTTTATTTATCTATTTTTATTTTTTTATGTGTATGAGTGTTTGGCCTGCGTATATTTACCAGGTCTTATTTAAATTTATTTTGGAAGTTCCATTGCCCATTTTCCTCTATTATTATTCATTTAAAAGAATTATTAATCTTAGCACTAGGAGGCAGAGGCTGGCAGAGCTCTGTGAATACAAGGCCAACCTGGTCTACATAGTGAGTTCCAGGCCAGGTGGAGCTACATAGTGAGTTCCAGACCAGGTGGGGCTACATAGTGAGTTCCAGGCCAGCTGGAGCTACAGGGAGACCCTGTCTCAAAAAGACAAAAAAAAAAAAAAAAAAAAAAAAAAAAAAAAAATTAAATGAGGCTAGGCCTGGTGGTGTGTGCCTTTAATCCCAGCTCTTCCAGAGACAGAAGAAGGTGGATCTCTGTGAGTTTGAGGCTAGTCTGGTCTACATAGCGAGTTACAGGTCATTCAGGGGACATGGGTTCAATTTGATTGCCAGCACCCACATGGATTCCCAGCACCCACATGGCAACTAACAACCATCACTAACTCCAATTCCAGAGGGTCTAATGCCCCCTTCTGACTTCCGTGAGCATTGCACGACATGGGTGCCCTTACATACATGCAAACAATACAATTATACACATAAAATAAAAATAATAATAAATTTTTTTTAATTTGTCCTGGAACTCACTGGGGGTAGATTCAAATGACTCTAATCCAGCATGTGGGAGAGAGAGAGGAAGGAAGATCCAAGAGTTCAAAGCCAGGCTAGGCAACTAGGATAGCAAGTCTCTTGTTCTCTCTCTCTCCTCCTCTTCTCTGTTCCCCTCTCTCTTTCTCTTCCTGGATTCACTCTGTAGCCTCAGCTTCCCAAGTGCTGGGATTTTGTTATTATTGTTGTTGCCTTTGGTTGGAGGAAGGTTCTCATATAGCTCAGGATAAATTAGAACTCCCTATGTAGACAAGGCTGGTCTTGAACTCCTGATCCTCTTGTCTTTACCTCCCAAGGGCTGGGATTATAGCACGTGCCACTACATCCTGTTTTATAGGGTGATGAAACCCAGGGTTTCATGCATGTGAGACAAGCACTGTGCTGACTGAACCA